CGTACGTTCCCCTGCTTTTGAGCGTGCCGCGCGCCTCGAACGCGCGGCGCCGCTATTCGCCCAATTCAGTCACGTGATGAGCGGGATCAACATGCCGTGCAGGAAAGATGGCGCTACGGAGACGAACGCGCAACTCTGGCTCCTGTAGGGAGGAACCTGGCCGTCAGCGCACAGCTTGTGCAGCGGCGAGGACCCGAAACACACTTGTTCTCTCGGGAGAAGTGTGTTTCGGCGTCTCGCCACAGCGGGGGCGCCAGTCACGTGGCTCTCCTCTCATGCGTTGTCTGCCACTCCCCCTTTTCCATTTCGGTGGCCGCTTTTTGTGGCCATCTGCCACGTTTTGTCTGTATAGTGGAGGCTATGGGTTAGCAAAGTAAAAAACGTGTGCTAAGCACCAGACATTGTTGGACTTCGGCTATTCTCATCACCGCAGTGGTTGGACAGCCACCCTTTGAGTGTCCGCCGAGGCATAGAGTGTTACGAGCCGAAATCGAGTGCTCACGCAGATCTCGTGTCCAATTCATGAGTCGCGCTCGACTGTCGTCAGGCGGGTGGTTTCGATACCACAACTACGTCATCAAGCTTTGCGAAAGCGAGATTGCAAGTTGCAATTTCACCGCGACAAATAAGCTTCTGAATAAGTGGCGGTCTGTGCAAGAATACTTGGGCCAGACTAGGACCAGCACGCCTCTGCAAAGTCATGAACATTCCAACCGATATCGTTTCATGACCCCTTTAAGTCCAGACGAAGCCAACATTACAAGCAAATCGGACTAAACAAGCAGCGTCAAAAAAGCGATTCAATGGGCCTTTTCTGTTTATGATTGGTTCAGGAAGGATAGAACACGTACGGAAACATGACGAACACCTTGATGGTGCGCTTTTTGACACTGTTTGAATATTCCCATCAGCTTGTAGCGTCGACTGTGTCTGGACTTAAAGCTGCCCTGAGGAGGTTTCTGAGATCGCCTAAATATGGCGATTACTCACTCTGCGGGCCTAAGCATCCTAGAAATTTCTAAATCAAAACAATGCGTGGCTGATTTTTTTTTTTTCATAAAAACAAAACAAAAAAAATCATTCAAAGATTGAACACACCGAGGGATCATTTCCGGCGATGGGAGGAGCATTTTTCCGGCAGCCAGGACGACATGCGCCAGCGCCCGCGCCGTTGGTGCCTGGCAGACCGCCACGAGACGCGGCCGCCGAAAGTGAAATGGTAGGGCTTCAGACAACGGATGAGAGGAGAGCCACGTGACGGGCGTTCCGCCGCGGCGAGACGCCGAAACGACACTTCTCGCAAGCGGTGGAATGTCCGCTCGTGCTCCTCGCGTTCCTCGCGCTACCACTTCTTTTCTCGTCGGGTTTGAAAACCATGTTTCGGGTCCTCGCCGCAGCAAATGCTGTGCGCTGACGACCAGATCCTGGAGAAATGCTATGTGCTACCTGATCTTTGCGCTCCACATCTGCGACCGGGCACTATATGGCATCGTCGTCGAACTGCCAAGCTCTGTGATTATAGAGGAGGCTATGCCTTTGCGTATTAGAAATACGCTTGCCGAAAAGCTGTTTATTATTGCAAAAACGGCAAATTAAGGTGATGTCAAAACCAACATTCAAATTTTTTCGTGTTTTCCCGTGAGGAACGTCACACGTTGTAGAGTTTGCTGATCAAGCGGACAACCTAAACATATATTTGTTTTAAATAATAAAGTAGCGCATTTGTGCTTCGTTCTGCTGGAGTAAGTTTCCCCAGTAATCATTTCGCACCACCAAACCTTTCGCAACCTACCGGTAACAAGCTGCGCTGCCAAAATTTGACATAAATGAAAACATCTGTTATCACGTTTCAAGTGTTGTCAGTAAAAGCACTCAGATGACGAAAAAAACGGTGAGAACATGGTTTAAAAGAAGCATTAACTTATGGATAGAAATATATATTTTACCTGTAATTTTGGTTATTAGTTCAGATGTGTCCATTTATGAGGTGAACAAATTGTGAGGCAAATTAGCGACTATCGAAATTTCGCACGCGGTGCCTGCATAAATGTCGCATCGGACTGTCTCTACAAGGGAATATTGAGATAGCAATATCGCCAGCACTTGGGAAATTAGGGGGGGAGGGGGGGGGGGCAGCAAAAGAGGTTGTAATATGCCGCAAGGCGTCCGCATTTCTAGTGTAACAAAGTCGACACGGTCACGAAATGGGTCGTCAATATTTTGACGAATAAAGGGCATTGACATTGCCACGGCAATATTTTGACGAATAAGAGGTAATGACATTGCAGGTGGCAGCACTCTTGTTTGCCTTAAATTGCGGCCTCCAGCGTTGTTTCGTGACAACGTTGTTGACGTAAAGTGTCGTCAAGACACAGCGTTACGTCACGACATCGCCACGACACGACGACGTCGACGTCGTCTTGCTGTCCGTCTGCGGACCTGCCACGGACCTCACCTCGGCGGACCAGAAAAACAGCGACTATAGAACGAAGTCCGACAAACGTGATCTGGCAGCTCCGCGGACCTACTTCATGACGTTTGCCCACGTGATACACAAGATCCTTTAAGGTCCGCAGACAGGTTCCTGTGGTCCACGGACACGTTCCCACGGTCCGCAAACACGATTCTGCGATCCGCGGACACGCTTTCGCGGTCTGCGGACAGGTTCCCGCAGTCCACCGAAGAACAGGTTTCTGTGGTGGACAGGTTCCTGTGGTCCGCGGACATGTTCCTGAAGTTTCTACCAGATACGTGGCGAATATAGAACTCCAGAAAATTTGGTGTCACGGATTTCGTGCGAACTTCTCTGTCGTCAAGTGTGTCGTGTAAGTACACCAAGCAAAAGACGACACACGCATGAAATGTCTGAGAATTTCTGGTGCCTGTGTCGTCCTTTGCTTGCCTGCAGCCTCGGGTTTCTTTCATGTCTACAGATAATACCCTACGTGCAAGTTCCTCTGCTCCGTGCTTTTGTCTCCCCCCGACCTAAGCCAATGGCGGCGCGCTTGGCTGCTTCGTCAGCGCGCTCTTACTGCGTGTTCTCTACGTTGTCCTTTGATTTGCGTGCCCATCATCGTGTTCCGATGCACCGTAGACGAATAATGGTGAGTTTTTGTATTGAGTATACGAGTGTATGCAACCCCTGTGCGTTTGAGTTAGCGTTGCATGTTCAACAGTGCGCGTGCGCGGAGCCCAAAATGTGACCTTGGATTGGCGCATGGCGACTTCAAGCATGCGCAGCGTGGAGAACGCATCGCTAACGCAAACGCACAGTGCTTGCGTTTTCTCGTGTACACAATACTAAAACTCACTGTTATCTTCTCTCCCAATGATACCGACACCAAGTTTAGATAAAATGCCTCTCAAATTGGGTGACTCCGGTTTCACGTTGTCAATATTCAGATTCTCTTACACTGATATGTACAGGGTGTCCGCCCGAAAACACTTTCCAGCTTTTCGCTTTAGTCAAGAAGGAAGAGCAGCGGAGCTGTAGATTCTGTTCTCGGCGGCGGCTTTCCAGGCGAGCGATGTGCTCTTCTTTCGCAAGGGAATCTGAAGCGCTCGACGCAGTGGAACTTTAGGCGATAGCGGCCTCGCCGCGGTTGCGGAACCATTCGCGCTGCTGCGCACATCGCCGCTCCTTCTGTTCCCGCTCTTCTTCCTCTGAAGAAATGTTTCCGCCATCTATAGGCGACGGCAGCAACCAGTTGCCTGGTTGCCGAAGCTGAAAAGGCTGCCGCGATCAATGAGCGACTGCGGCAAGCAGACAGCCGGCAAGCACAACACTCTGGACAGCTACCGCCATCTATGAGCGACGGCGGCAACTGTTGTGTCGACATTTGTTTGGTACCGGACACGATCCTGGAAACAAGCCCTTAAGAGCTCCGCTATAAAATTTACAAGGATTTTTCCACTGCAGAAACTATACTACGCGTCGAATAATGTTCATTCTCCAACCAACTGTAGCTCAGCGGTCCGAACCAGGTGTCAAAATGTAAAAACTAAACGTTGCTTTTTTTTTTTTTTATTTATAAGTGATTTTCTGAAATTTACAATGGCAAAAAGGTGGCTTACAGAGCTCTGTAATACACGAAGCTGAATGGCACCAGTTACCGAAAATGGGCGAAAACGGGCTTCAATTTTCCATTCAAATTTTAAGAAAATCAGAAATAGCTTTTAAATGAGATAACTGTCCGACATGAAACTGTGGCATCTGGTTTCGGACTACTGGCACCATATTTGGACAAAAACTAGCATTTGGTGATGCATAGCTCATTTTCTTTCTTTTTTTTTTTTCTTTTTTTAAACACCAACATAACACTACTTTTTTTTTTGGGGGGGGGGGGGGGGGGGGGAAGGAGGGATGGGGAGAGAGAGGGACATGCAGGATACAAACTTCTCGCAAACATTAAGCTTTTTTTTAGGTTTGTAGTTGGGCTATATTGGAACATAAATATACACATAAAAAATTCTACATATTTACGGGTTTCACTTTCATAACGAAGGTGAACAATTAAATACATTTTATGACACGTAAAGTTGCGCTCTATATTAATACTGTACGCCCTCTGTTTTATACACTGAGTTTTAAAATCTGTGGTGCTTAATCTTTCCTGAGTTGTATACGCTACAGCATGGCGTTAGTGGCTGTGGTATTTTATTATGCTTTGCCTTTTTTTAATTTTTATTCTGGATACTGCTAAAAAAGCACTGCAGCGAATAATATTAAACGGTTTACCCATCGCCTAAACGTAGTCTCGATGTTATTGGTTTCGAAACGAAGCCTTTCTCAATAAAGCTTGACACGTCTTTCACTCAGGGATGTCGTCCATTCAGGGATGCCATATAAATTGTTCTTATATAATATTTTGTGTCTGCTAACACTAACTTTTAAAGCATAGGGTGTTACATGTTTTATTTTGTATGAAAAGCAAGTATTTTTATTCGGCTCTAATTAAGTGAAGCAAAAAGAAAAAAAAATAATGTTAAGTTTTGATTTTTCAAAGTTTGCTGGCGTGAACGGCGAATATGTCGTACAAATACTGTGGATCCCCAGCTGGCTTTTCTGTCCAGAACGTGAGATGAACATTCGCCACGTCGGTCTTGTATTTCGTCTTTTCTCCCTCGGGCAGCAATGGTAGGACGGGATCTAGTGAAAGCTCGAATTCTGAAAGAAAATAACAAAAAAGAAAAATGGTATTCCCCACTTAGCGCAGGAATGGGATGGGCTACAAATTAAGCTAAAATCTGTCTAGGGCAACATTCTCAAACGCGAACTGCACCATTTATGTGCAGTCATTTGGCAGTAAAAAAAATATTCCGCGACTGAGTGTTTTCTTTGTGTTTTTAGATATTTCCATAAAAACTCTCCCGGTGCTGCAGCATGAGGATTTGTTTGATGCCGAAATATTCAAATAGCGAGTGCTACACATCTTTAGCTCGAAATGCATGGCACCTAAATGCCATTAATACTTCGTACCGTGTTTATAAGTGACTCTTAATGCGAGGTACTGAAAAGTAAAAAAATGTATTTGATAAAGATAAGCCAAAGCAGAATGAGAGTTTTTGTTAATTTTTATCTTTTCAGCAGAAAAATACCCTGTGTGTATGGAGTAGAAAAAGGAGAATCCGGTAGATTTAGGACTTAAGTATCCATTTGGAACACATGCCGGAAAAGACAGCTAAGATAACAACGCGGGTCGTTTATGAGTCGTGGCAATGGTCGCACAACAAAAGCAAACAGGTCAGTCGACAATACAGTCATGGCGGTATATGTCTATAGTACAGCATTTATTTATAGGGAACAGTATCGATCATATTCAAAGAAAAGTTAGAAACACCGCCTTCTGCCCCGACAACCGATGCCTCCGTCATGCTATCGAGGAATTTACGACAGCGGCCCAGGATCATGCAGACTATCTCGCCACACACAACTGGTCCAGACGTGCGACGACATGAACGGCCGACTTCACACTCCCCGAACTTGGCAAATCATGTGCACTCTAGTCGGGCAAACCAAGCATCGTAACACGTTGAAAAAACTTTAGATAGCGCAGAATGCATCGTCCAACGCGGTGTCAAAGCAGATTTGGGACACCTTCTGTCCTCTGTCCGTTGGCGGCCAGAGGACAGAAGGTCTGGCGAAGAACCGGACGGCGGCTAAAACTGCATTTTCCCAGCAAGAACTCAGCAACTCTCCGCAAACTCAAAAGGAACAAGGCACCGGGCCATGACCGCGTTAGCTACGGGATGCTCCGCAACCTGCCGGACGTGACGCTGAAAGAATTGCTCGCCTTAATCAATGAAGCGTGGGAACACCCAGAATTGAAGGAAGCGCACATTATCACCATCCCCAAGCCAGGCAAACTTTCCACCACGGTCACCAACCTCCGCCCCATATTCATGAAGTCCTGCCGTAGTAAGCTGATGGAGAAGATGGCCCTCCAACGGCTCGAGTGTCCCCTAGGGCACCATAGACACTTCGCCCCAATTGTCGTAGGCTTCCGCCAGCATGTGAGCACACAAGACGTTGCCCGCCGCATTCGCACGGCTTCTACGACTGCGAAAGCAGGGCTCAACTACGTACGATCGTCAAAGTGGACATCCACAAGGCCTTCGACAACGTAGATCTTGCCGCCCTCTTCTAGTATCTGGACGAGACCCCAGCCGGGATGCCGCCTCTTCAACTACGTCAAGAATTTCCTCACGGACTGAACGCTCTGCATCATCGCCCCAGACGGCAACCCGCCACAGCCATATCTGCTGCGGTAAGGGACTCCCTAGTGCTTCATATTGTCACCCACGCTCTTCGATCTTATCCTGAAATGTCTTCCAGTTTAGCCATACGCCATCCCAGCCCTTCATCACGCCATCTGTGCGGATGATATCACCCTTTGGTGCTGCGCAGGCTCCTATAGAGAGCAGCAGGGCACTCTGCAGAAAAGTCTCGAAGTAGTTCACGCCCACGCCCAGACCATCGCCCTCACCTGCTTGCCTAACACGACGGAATACGTTGTAGTTTCAAACGACCGGCTCAAAACCGCCCAGGCCTATCGAGGAACCTCATCAAGCTTCCCCCCCCCCCCCCCCCCCCCAGACCAACGGCTCCCCCATTCTTCGGAACGCCCATATTAAGGTACGGGGCTTCGTCTTTCAGCAGGACGGCCGCAGTACGGTGTGAACTCCTAAGATCAACAAACAGATCGAGCAAGTGTACAAGATAATACGGCATGTCACTCGGCAACGCCAAGGTTTCTAGGAACATTAACTGTGCAAGGTAATAAAGGCCACGGTCTTCTAGCGCGTTATGTACGCACTCCTCTACAGGAGCCTCACGGCCACGTAACTCCGGCGCCTAAAAGCGGCTCTTCGCAAGTGCACCCGCACCGCCCTCGTAGTCCCTTCCTACACCTCCAATTTTAAAGTAGAAGAGACGGCGCTTTTCAACTCCCTTGATGAGCGGATAAAAAAGTGAAAGCCGCTTACAACTCCCTGTAACGCCGAATTAGAGCGCAGCTCTTGAGGAGGAGGAGGGAAGGGCGCTGGGGGGGGGGGGTTAGACTAACCAGGGGGGGTCACGTGACCTTGGGGGGTCACGTGACCCCCAATGCCGATGATGTCATCACTGACGTCACTGATGATGTCATCAGTGACGATGACGATGCGGGTACCGATGACGTCATTAGTGACGTCACTGATGACTTCACCAGTGATGATGACGATGACGATGCGAATGTCGGTGACGTCATCAGTGACGTCGCTGACGACGTCATCAGTGATGATGACGATGACGATGCGGATGCCGGTGACGACATCAGTGACGTCACTGATGACGTCATCAGTGATGATGACGATGACGATGCGGATGTCGGTAACGTCACCGGCATCCACATCGTCATCATCATCACTGATGACGGCACCGGCATCCACATCGTCATCGTCATCATCACTGATGACGTCACCGGCATCCACATCGTCATCGTCATCATCACTGATGACGTCACCGGCATCCGCATCGTCATCATCCCTGATGACGTCATCATCACTGATGACGTCACCGGCATCCACATCGTCATCGTCATCATCACTGATGACGTCACCGGCATCCACATCGTCATCGTCACTGATGACGTCCTCATCATTGATGACGTCATCATCACTGATGACGTCACCGGCATCCACATCGTCATCGTCATCATCACTGATGACGTCACCGGCATCCACATCGTCATCGTCACTGATGACGTCCTCATCATTGATGACGTCATCATCACTGATGACGTCACCGGCATCCAAATCGTCATCGTCATCATCACTGATGACGTCACCGGCATCCACATCGTCATCGCCATCATCACTGATGACGTCACCGGCATCCGCATCGTCATCGTCATCATCACTGATGATGACGTCATCAGTGATGATGACGATGACGATGTGGATGCCGGTGACGTCATCAGTGTCGATGACGTCATCGGGGGTCACGCGACATCGGCGGGGGTCACGTGACCTCGAGGAGGGGGTCACGTGACCTCAGGGGAGTCACGTGACCTTGGGGGTCACGTGCCCCCCCCCACGAAGTCACGTGACCCCGGTGGGGGCTCGCGCGGTGCATTATGGGACATTTCCCATGATGCACCGCGCGGTTACGCCGACGCCGACGCCGACGCCGCTCAAGCCGGAAACGGGCCCCTAAGAGCTGCGCTCTAAAAGCATCATCGCGCTTAACTTTACCGACTCAAAACCTTCGGACATGGCAGAGCCATCCTTCGTCTGCTAGGGCACTATACAGACCATACGCTCCCCGTTCCCCCGACTCTACCTCCTTGGGACGGCATTCCTCGTCTCGTCGTTCACCCCATACCCCGCAACTTGGATCGCACTACACTCGCACAACGCAGGCAAGACAGAGCGGACCGTCTCCATGAACCGACGCATAACTCCTACTACACTGACGCTCGAGTCACCGACGACAAGGCCGTGACGGCGACGATCGGCACCACCACCACGAGTTTTCGCTCCGGGATTCTTTCAGTAGTGGAGGCGTAGGCGCCATTATCGAACCAATCATCCTCCGCCAACACGACACGGCAGCCATCACTGTGCGGAGGGATAGTCACGGAGCTCTCCACAGCTTCGAGGCGCAAGCACTGACTACGTACACCCGCACTACCCACCAAGACTACATGCGGACCCATCCGCAACTTACATCTCATCTAGAATGGATCCGCGGCTACCAAGGCATTCAGGGAAACCAACAAGCACACGCCCTGGCCGGCGACAGCGAACTTCCGTGTCCCCCGACAACCTGGCCGAAACCATACTACCCCCCGAGGTCCGCTCCCAACATCACAAGGAACGAACTGCACACATAGCCAGCTTCAGGTCCCAGCGCTGCAAGCTCCCCTCCCCTTCCTGGTCCCACTCCTGACAGAATGCCTTCATTACCCGGCAAGCACAAACCCCCTGTCTTCGTACAGAGCACTGTATGCACTTTCTCCAGCGCCGATGTGGTAGATCCGCGTGTAATAACTGCGGAGGCTACCTTTCCAAAGAACACGCATACTGGTCCTGTCCCAGGGCCTCCACCTCCTTCACCCGTCTCTTTCCCCCCTTTCTTCCCTCTTCAGTCCCCTATTCCTGGGCGAGCTGGGCCGCCCCACCCCCCTCCCCCTCAAAGGATCTCCAACCCACGCGGTGGCCACTTCTCCTTGCCCATATTAAAAAACAAACAAAAAAAAAACTCTTTATTTTTGGATGCTAAACTTACCGACTCTACAAGGACGGGGACAGCGCATCCCATTTCGCGCTGGCGACTAAAACGACTCGAACTTGAGTCGCGCAATAAAGTTTATACTATCTCTCTGTCTTTCTCTAGACTAAGCTGCAGTCTTGAACGTTAGCATTTCAAGTCCAAGAAATATACCAATCCACGATCCTTCATGTTCCGCTCTGTCCATGTATGGGCGTCGACATGAGCAACCACGCCATAGGATGTGTGGAAAACTTACCTATGTTTTTTTCCAGCCCTAGGCCGCTTTGGTCTTCGGTCACCACTTGCCACATTCGTGGCTTCAGCTTAGCATTTTTAAGAACGCCCAACAAGTACGAGTTCAGGTTCGACATATCTTTGATATCCGCGCTTGGGGGAATGAAGCGCTCAATGACCTAGAAGGAAGTAACAAATGATTATGTTTCACTAGTCTCGTCTGGTAGGCAGTCATCCATCGTACGCAGCGTTGCACTGGTGCTCTAAGCTGGATACTCGGCGGAAAGGTCGGCGGTGAGAAACCTCGCTGCCTTTCTCGCTGCGTTTCCAGCTGAGAGCAGCCGCACTTTCCAGTTTTCGTGGTGGGTGTTTATTTGTATGGTGTTACGCTACGAGACGAGTATTACACGTGAAACTTGACTGTCATTCCAAGTCGCTTGGAGGGAATTACAAAACGTATTGCTATCAGAAGAAAGCAATCAATGAAACCGATATTGACTTAAAACGAAAGAAACACATAAGAGGACGAAACAGACGACACAGCTTTCGGATATTCTATAGTTTTGATAGAAAATATTATTCGGGAGTCGGCGCGCTTGGGTTCCTTGTATGGGCAACCGCGATCAGGTAGATGTCTACACGTCACTGAAACTAAAACTAACCAAATATCGTTCTTCGTTACTTTTTCAGAAAGTAAGTACCTAAATTACGCTGAGTGCGCAGGCGAGCTAGTGGAATTTTACCATAATGATGTCTGTTACTGTCACTTTCTTTTCAACTCTGAAAGCAATTCCTCCTTCTGCCCCGATCTTGGTTTAAAGTCATCATGGTAACTAAGTACATTATTCATTACCACGATTTAGAAGGAACACGTTACTTCGGCTCAAAAGTAACGTAGTACGTTCTCGTTACTCCGTATGTGTCGTTTCTCTGAAACAGCAGCCACCTTACAGTATTTGGCACCATAGACGCAGAAACCTCTAAAAAAGGTTTGTGCGTCTATTTCACGCACAAAACTCGGAGAGCCAATCACCGCCACTTACGAAGGCAGCTGAGCGAATGACAATGCCGAAACATATGTTTAGACCAATAAACGCAGTCTGAGTTGTGACATCAAGTAATGCAAAACGTCACGCTTGCATTGCCTAATGCCACAACTCAGACTGCGTTTTTTGGTCTAAACGTATGTTTGGGCATTGTCATTCGCTCAGCTGCCTCCGTAAGTTGCGGTGATTGGCTCTCTGAGTGTTGTGCGGGAAAGCAGACGCACGGGCTTTTTTTTTTTTTAGAGTGTAATTTATCGCTTTTTAACGCATTCAATCAGGGGCCAGTGTAGCTATACTGAATAACTGGTTTTGTTCGAGCCGCTTCTCAAAGACATCTAACTATACTTCCATGTGTCGTGCACATCTTTTGTTTTGTGTCTATCTAGGTTTTCTTTTCCCCCTGAATATTACAGGAACCTTCGTCGTCACCTACTCACAACATCTTCACCCTATAATATCACGCGGCGCCCCGGACACCGGCCTTTCTGCGGTGTTCCGGCTATCCTCGTGCAAATACATATACAAACGTACAATTTACGCAAATAACTAGGTTGTGTACCTTAGTTGTAAACGTTTCCCTCCAAAAGCAACTAAATACCGTTACGCGTTACTCCAACGCGTTACTCTCGAATAGTAACCAGCCGTTCCTTCCTTGCCGTAGACGTAAGCAGATACAAATAATGCGTTACGTATGAGTCTGCTCTCAGATAATGAAGCATTCCTCACCGACATGGAAAACCACTTCTACGCCGTTTCACTCGAAGGGAAACTGTGCCACATTGCGGATCAATATTGGTTGTTTAAGGGGTATTCACACGAGGGAGAAAACCCGGGGATTTCTCCCCGGCACGCGTGCATCATGATTCACGAGACGAAAATGCAAGGCTTTTGCACGTCGCAAAGCCTGACGTTTTTTTCGCAGGATGTGCGTGCCGGGGAGAAATCCCGGGCTCGGTTTTCAGTGGCATAAACACAAAACCGCCGAGGGCCCTGACGATGCACTTGTGGTATTGCTTGATTGGCTCTGTCGGGTCGTAGCGTCGGCTGCGGTTGTACTAAAACGGAGTATAGCATCAAACATTATCGGCCGAAGGCCGATGATTGCAGCGCAGAAGCCATCCTAAAGGCTCGTTCACACGGTTGTTTTCGAGTGCCAGTGCAGCCACTTGAGCCTCGCTAATACTGCTTGCTTCGACCTGTTGCTACGGCGACCCTTACGACGAGCCAATGGGGAGGCGCTGAGAAGTACGACGCAAAGCATTGTTGCAATGCTTTGCGTCGTACTTTTCAGGGCCTCCTAACCGTGTGTACGCGCATTAATAGACTCCTTCTGCACGCTGCCAGCTTTGTCTTGCTGATCTGTGGAACGTGTCTTGGGGATGCTGAAGCTCCGTTCCGCAAAATATCAGACGCCACGTATATGTCCACAGTCCTGTGGCTCGGACTTTTCGGCCCACTTAAAGGGGTACGGAAAAAAAAAATCAGCGCTCGTTTTCTAGCTTTAGTATGTTGCATGTTGCGGCTTAACCTCAAAAATACCAGTCTTGCATTGAAAGGCAGAAGCAAACTAATTTTAAAGCTAATTAAATGATATTTCAATGTGAAACTGGTGGATGCATGTGGAGCCTATTAGGGAGGTAATCTAGCAACGTTGGGGAACTTGCCAAGTAGTCACGACGTAGCAAGTTGCATCGGAGCAGCGCCGCTCTTTGGAATTCAACATCTTCCTTCATGGCTTTCCCGCTCATTGTACCAAACAGTCCAAGAAGACGAAATGGAGGGACTCCCCTCTTTCTCGTACCCTCGTTTGCGTACCCGGGCACAGCCACTCTCCCCCTAGAAAATTAGCCCGTCGCTCAAAACTCGGACAAAAGTTGCTTTCCCGACCCTGTTCGGGAGCATCCCGCTAAGGCCGATAGTCGCATTACGGCCGAGAGGGGCGGAAGGGCCGGGAGTGGCTCGGAGGCCGAGTAGGGCGTAAGGGCCGGGTGACAGTGTTGTGGAAGCTACGTGCTCCTTGGGCCAACCACACGCTTGTCACCAACGCCAGAGCTCATAACCATGCCAGCTTTGCCACGTCACGAATGGGGGGAATCTTCTCTTTCTGTTTTTATTCGCGCCGGATATCCCATGACGCATCGCGCACTCAGTTCGCTTCTCTTCGAGCGCTTGCTCAAGTGCACCGTTTGGAACGAAAAATACAGCCAGTCGTTCAAAATACAGACGTGCAATTATTATTTACGGTTATATACGTCATGCTTGACTCATTTCCGAACGAAATTTGAATATTTCAATTTTTGTTTTCGTACCCCTTTAAACGCGCCAAAAAGGTGCACGCTAATCGATTAACTGTCCGAAAAAAAAAGATCTTACGTAATATTGCGGGTGTTTTTTGCTTCTTTTTTTTTGTGACATGACTGACTTTAGTGTAGGAGATATTTTCGTAAGCGCGTGAAAGTATTCAGTAACCTTCGAGCAATGGCTATTCATCGTGATTTCAGGTTTAGAAATTACGTCTGCTGTGTGGGGTATCTCTTGGCGGTTGAAGTTTGAACTTACATTTTACTCCTTCCTACCTTCTGTTCACTAACATTTAAAGCGAAACCTGCCATAGCAGCGCAATAGGAAATGTTTTTTCCAAAAACGCCATCGGGACTTCTAATAATGCCTATGGCAGTGAGTGCTTAGTCCAGCTTTTTAATTGTAGAGGTACTTGCCAGTTATAAAAGTGCGTGCATTTGGTAATTTGTAAAAATCACTCAAAATTTAAATACAACTCCTTACAAAATGTGTGCACGCGCCAGCTAAATGAAATATGTACCTCGAAGCCAATGGTAGGGAAAAGTTATGTTTGAAAAGTTTACAAACGCAATTAACTTAGCTTGTTTTTACGAGATGTTACTTACACCATAACACAACCGACAGCGTGTATTTCCATCAATTATAAACATTTTCTTTTGTCAAACGTACTAAAACCTTAAGTTGAATTTACTAAAAGGGTGAGGTAAAGTGACAGCCTAGTTTCTTATGAGAGGCTTTGCTGTCACAGTTACGTCCGTGTCCTCGACTTACATACATATGACTCGTCTCTTAACCCAAAAAGTTATAACACAAGCACTGGATTTGCGGATAAACTCACTTTTTTGTAAGGCTTCCATCGATCTATCTCCGCAATTCTCCTCCACACCCTGAAGAGTGGGAGGCGGACAGGGAATACGAGCAGGCACTCCCCTTGGTCGGTCATCAAGCCGGCCACATTTCGGAGCGCGGTGGTGAGACCCGCAGTCCACTGCAAGGCGCAGAAAGAGTAGACGCGCTCAAACTTGCCGTACTTCTCGATGAGTCCCGTGATGTCGCTTTCTATGTCGTGCACCTCGTACGCGATTTGCGGATGCGCGAAGTTCTCCTCGGCATACTCCACCATGGCTCGGGAGATGTCTGTGGCCACAATCCTACGGCAGGGCTGGCAGCGCGGCAGCAGTTCTTGGAGTGTAAAGTCGCCTGTCCCGCAGCCTACGTCGATGAACTGCTGGCTGCCACTCGGTTTGATAGCGAACGACATCTGCGGCGAGTCGAGTATCTTGATGCCCATTGCTCGCTGAATTTTGTTGGATTCGATGTAGACTTCCGGGACCATCTTCACCTGAACCGGCTCTGTCTCGACGGCGTCATTGACTGGAGAAGCGTTGGCCATGTTGTTGCGCAAGTGTCACCAGCTGTCGAAAAGAAAAGACTATCCTTACTACTAGAGTTTTTGAGATCAAAGATCGATGTAACTCTAATTTTAGGTAAAATCGCGAACAAAAACTGCTAAGGTTTTAAACCATTCATCTATTGATATCACAGACGTGACTGGCAAGATACAATAAAATATAATAGATACGCAAACACTAGGAGTATGTTCCCCAGATGCCGGGTTAATATTTCGTTTGATAGATCACAGGGATTCTAGGTGATGCCATTTCCAGCGTTCGTGGGTTCAGCGTTCAGCTTTCCAAAATGACGAACATGCGCGTGCTATACTATAGAGGTCACACGCTTGGCTGTGGATTTCTGAACATTGAAATGGTATATCACTCGCAAGATGAGAACGACATAGAAGTATTTCTGTTCTCCAGCCTCCAACGCGAGCGTCCTATTAAAAAAAAATAAACAGACTTCGACGTCTTGTGCAGTGTTGTGTTCCTGGAATGCGTTCCTTTCAGGAGGAAGGAAGCAACCCCGCCGTTCCATTTTCCATCAGCGGAACTGGAACGGTAACTCGTTACATTTTTACTGGAACAGAAAAAAGAACGGCGTTTCTTTTTTTCGTCCTGTGGCGTAATCTTTATTTTATTTCTAAGAAGGAAATTAAAGAAAAAAATATAAAAACAATATCTTTACGAACAGCAGGATCTCGTAATATTTTTGGTTACTTGTCTTAGGGTTTATTTGATGCGGTCCTCGCTTGGTAACAGTCGCGTGCATGAGAACTAGTAGACATTGATACTTTTTTCAGTGCCCGAGGCTACTGTAGAAAAAGCAAAACTTTTAGCTGAAGGAAAGGCACAAAAAGAGGAACGTTTCAAACTGAGCTACTTTGCTTCCACGAATCCTCATACAACCAAAAAACTAAGGCCCATGGGTTTCCCCAGGAATTGAAATTAGGGGGGGGGGGGGGGTCAAAATTTTTAAGGGGGGGGGGGCATTTAGGGAGTTGTTGCAAATTAAAGGGACACTGAAGTCATTCGTGAAAAAGGTCGTTTTTTTATCTTATATTGTTTAAAAGGTGTTAATTCCCGCATATACCAAGTCCTATATTACAAAACCGTCCATTCATCTCAGGGCAAGAAACAACATGTGGACTCTTTTTCCCGCGGACTACATTGTGTGGACCAATCAAAGCTGTACAATACCAGCAGATTCCGATTGATTTTTATATAACTCGTTTCGAACAGAGTCTGATAGGTACAGATTCGAATAAGACTTTTCTTTTCCTCCGCGGACGAAGCCTTCGCTAGCCACTCGCCGACAAGCGCCCTTCGTGGACCACTTCACTCGGAAGAAAATTCTTCCCAAAAAGGGCGTTTCGCGATCTTTGATTACGCTCTTAACGAGGAAATAAGCTACGCATGATTGTGATTTCGGGTTTATTGGGATGCTTAGAGTGTCTAGATTGAGTTGTCACCACAAAAGGACGATATCAGAAACGACTTTAGTGCCCCTTTCAGTGCATGTTTTAAAAAAAAAAAATACAAGGGGGGTGAACTCCCCCCCCCCCCCCCCCCGGTGTGTAGGGAAATCATTGCTAAGGCCGACTACAGCCATCACTGAGCTTCCACAAAGAGACCTATATAGTTGCAACAAAAGACCATGTTACCAGAAAACGAACGCACCCTTTTATCCCGACCATAGGCCACTTAAAAGATAACCAAAATTAACCTTTATTCCTCCTCCCGTTGTCCCCCACCTTCAAGCTGAACAACGAATCCATTCTTCACAAAGAAAGACTTGTACTTTTCAAGACTGACCTTCCAAAAGCCTCACCCTCTTCTTCACATGCTCGTCTTGCGGACAGTAACATTGAGAAGCAATTGTTGTTAAGTTCGAACAAGGGACCTTGTTAGATTGAAACGTGTGAGGTAGTTGTAAAACTCTCGTGCAATGTGGGGTAGCAGTACATTTAAAGGTTCGTCTGAATCGCCCACCACACACATGAATATGGTTAAAGCTGAGATTTTTAAAGACGAATATATCGACAAATGAAACACTGCTTCTGCTTGTTTTCTTCTCCTGGTACCCTTTCATCACTTCATTCAAATTCGTATGTTGCCCTTTGATGGGATATATAAAAAAAACAAAGAAAACTAACTTTTCTCGATCTAACTAAATATGATAATCAGCAAAATACAAATGGAACGTATATGTAACGATACGTTCCCTTTTTTTAACTTTAACTGGAACGGGTTTCTTTTTCACATATGTAACTTGTAAGGGGAACGCGTTCCAAAATCAGAAGGAACGAGGAACGAGCTTTCATTCCTTTTTTTTTTCAGAACGTGTAAAACACTGCTTGTGAGTCAGAGGGTGCACACGCAGCCAAAGCACGGTGAAGGGCAACGAGCGTATGTTACAAGGCGGACAGATAAAGGAGATGCTCTGCCGTCCCCATCTAGTTATATTTCGTTTCAGCTTAGGTCCAGACGCAGCCGACTCTACATGGTAATGCTACCAATCAGGCAGGGTCCAACGCGCAAGTCAATAGGTCCGTTCTGTGTATGATTGGTTCTGCGATAATAGACTATGAGCAGAAACATGACGAACGTCGTGGTGATGCGCTTTTGACACTGTCTGGTTGGTCCCATCAGCTCGTGGCTTCGGCTGCGTTTGGACATGGGCTGAAACGATGTGTAGTGATTATATTGGGAAATATAAATTTACGAATTATTTTTAAACGGGGATTAATATAAAAAGACTATTATTGAAGTCGTCTATACCTCCAGTCTTAATACAAAATCGTTGCAGCACGTTGTGCCAGTCTCGTTTTTTAATCAGTTGCAAATTTCCAGGAGGACCAAGCGACGAGAGCGAACACACAAGTTTGCGATGCTCACAAAACGATTTCAGAAAGAAAAAGAAAATTAGCTTGATAAAGATTAGAGTACGGAAACACTACGCACAATGTAAGCGATAACAGCAGCTGGAAAAGTGAAAGGTTGGGATTCATTACTTTTACATCACAAATTACGATTTTGGATAAATAGTACGAGTATAGTTACTGGTTATATTTAAATAAATGTTCTCAATTAATGCATTTCTTCTAGATCGGTGTTGTAAAGTTCAAGTTAAAGAGAAATTTGTTTATGTCAGTTTTAACGGAGGTAAAATAAAAAGATCGAACAAAAGCTAGAAAAGCTAGCCAGAAATACATTAAATACTGTGGGTATGATTTGCGGCGTCAATTTTTCTAAAGGGAGATTTATCTGAGTTCCAAGCTGGACCGATTTTTCAAGAGCCACGAAACATTTAGTTGCGGATTTCGTTTTTTTTAATGGTTGGAAGTTTATCTGTACTAGTTTTGGGCACAAATTGTTACGTGCATTGAACAAAAAGTGTGCTAAAGAAAGTTCTATGACAATCTAGGCAGCACGCCAGAGGGACGCCCTACTTGGTCCAAGTCGGGCAATTGTAGGGGCCTAATTTAGGCCTGATAAGGTTTTGTTCTAATGCTTTAGTTTGTGCCAAAGTACTTTTTTTTTATTTTGTAAATGGTTTTCCTCCAGTTCACCATGTCATTGCGAAAGTGCCAGACATGCGCCAAAGATGCAACGTGTCAATCGAAACCCAACCAGTGAAGTTCAATTCTGGCTCTTTTTTGACGAATTAGAAAAAAATACCGAGACTTGCCTAAGATTATGCAGTTTGGCTATACTTAGACTTTCTGTGGCTTAAAGAGTCCTAAACTGCCAAACCAAAATCAAAATTCGGTGCAAAAAACTGTGCTACTTGGGAACCAGTGCCAAGCATATATAACTGAATGTGTTACAACTACGCGGCTCTAAAGCTATTTTGGGAGTCAGCTTACCAACTGTTGATCGGTAGCAGCTTAGTACGGCGCAGTGAATTATGCCGGAGTGGTACATTTTCCACTGCGTAGGTGTTAAAAGCGGATCTGGTTGAAAGTGAGCAGGTGTTAAAAACAAGGCGTAATTCAGCTTCACATCCTGTCGCGTTTCATACAAAACACGTTTGCGAAATGGGCCATGTAGACGTGCGCCCGAAGTGTGTCAAGCACGCAGAAGGCTCCGATAAGGATGTGGATTCGGCATTTACAACGCTTCGGTCGGGATGAGAGCTGACGGCCATCCTTTGCACGGAGGGTCAGATCCATTGGACAAAAATATCGGCTTAAAACTATCGTAAGCAGTGAGAGAGTGCAGGCGAGCTGGTAATCAATCGACATCTTGTAAACCCTGAGATGGGGAACACAACAAAATCTCAAACGCAGCTATTGGGAACGCAACTATTGGGAACGCATATTTTGAATCTTGGTCTCGACATTTCTATTATAATCAAATGTAGTAGCGCCATAGAAAAAACAATATCCAACTTAAGTCTACATAAAAAAAAAAACATTGTAAATGAAACATAATTTTAAAAAAAAGTGTGATAACGTCCATAGCCCTGCTGGAAAATAAAACGTTTGAAATTCGAATGGCTTGCTAACTGATCGACCCATTAAGATCATATTAAATTAGAGAGTTTTAGTGGGTCGTTTCTAAAGCAGACGGTTACGAAATCGTGAATCGTGAAGCTGTTCCGTTTCCGTGAACCCGCACGTCAGATTTAACGTGTTTTAAGGAACCGTGATACGGGCGCAACCTTGTAAACAATGGTAATGATTGCTAGAGAGCCTAGATTGAAGATAGGGTCTATCTCAAGCCATGGGAATGCCATGGCGAGTGGTTGTAATTCAATGGTGGCCGCCGCTGCGGAGATTTGTCGCAACTGAACATGCGCTGCGTTGTCGCGTGATCAGGAGGAAAGCAGCCGAAGGACGGATATGTTTGAAGACGATGAACGCTTTCGGCACCTTCTCGCAGCTCGTCCAGGGTGCCTTCAAAGTTATTTACATTGTTTATTCGCCCAAAAATAAATTATGCATTGCTGAATGCTCATTCTCCGCCAAAAGGTAGCACTAGAGGTCCGAACCAG